TTGTACATGGGGTAGCTATGAGTTGGAGCTGACTCAGTTACATCTAACAACAACAATGAATGCCTAATATAAGGCTTTGGTGGGTAAGGCATTTGGATGCTAACCAGAAGGTCAGCAGTTCAAACCCACCAGCTGCTCCATGGAAGGAAGATGAAGCAATCTATTTCTGTAAAGATTTGTAGCCTGAGAAACCCAACGGGAGTTACTATGAGTCAGAATCAACTCAATGGCAGTGGGTTTATTTGGTTTGGTTATGCCTTATATATACATAAAAGTCGAATTTGATAGATTGTGTCAAACTGTCTTCCAAAAAGTTTATGCATATTTATATGCCAGTCCAGTGTGTATCTGACAGCACTTTTTCCCTTACACATTCATCAATACCACATACATATCTTCTGTTTTTGTCAATCTACTGGTCAAAAATAATATCTCATGGTTCCTTTAATTTGCATCTCATTTTACATTTTTATTGACCATTTATATTTCTTCCACTGTTAATTGCCTGTTTATATTCTTTTGTATTTTTCTAGTGGAGTATTAGTGAGGATAGACTATATGTGCTACAATAACAAATTAATCTCAAAATCCCAATAGCTTAACATAATAAAATTTAAAATCTCACTACTACTATATATCCATTTTGAGTCATCAAGGATGCTCTACATATAGTGACTTAGAGAAATCTCTGCTGATAGTCCATCATGGTGTATCTAAAACATATCATTTCCAGAGGAATGAATCAACAGACTACGACATATACATACAATGAATTTATTAAAGAACAATGATGAATCTGTGAAACATAACATGAATGAACTTAGAGGCCATTATGCCGAGTGAAATTAGCCAATTATAAAAGAACAAATATTACATGAGATCACTATTGTAAAAAGTCAGGAAAAGGGTTTCACAAAAGAAAAGAAATATTCTTTGGAGAGGGGGAGAAGGGAGGGGAAACCACTAACTAGAAGGTACATACATAGTAACTTGGATGATAGGAAAGGTAAAATATAACTGTTTTGATTACCTAGTGCTGCTCTGGCAGGCATATACCACAAATAGGATGGCTTCAACAAACAGGAGTTTATTCTTTTATAGTTTTGGAGGCTAGAAGTCTGAGGCTAGATGTCAGGCTCTAGAGGCTGGGTGAAAGCCCATCGACCTTGGGCTTCAGCTCTCCCTCTTGACCTCGGCCCACTGAAGCTAGAGGCTTCTCTTCACTCAGGCAGCTACTGGTTGCTGAGGCTGGGAAATCCAGGATCAACAAGTGAAAAGGCACAGTCCTGATATTACCAAACCACACGGCAGGCCGTTGATTCAAGCCCACTGAAAGTCCCAAGATCAACAGAGCATGGCAGGCTGCTGAACAACAACTCAGCTACATGCAGGGTTCAAGCATGCCATCAGCTAGAGATCATTCCCAAAGCTGCTTCTTATATACAGGAAACAGACCACATCCCTAAAGCAGCTACTCAGCTGTTTGTGGTAGATCTCA